GCAAAAAAAATAATTCATAGGATATTAGAATTTCTTATTAAAATGAATCAAACAAAAGACACCGTAATATTAAAAATCATACAAACTGAGAACTGAAGGAAATTTTTACAATTTTGTAGCATAACATCTTTAGAATCTTTTTTATTCATAATCTCACATAAATGTTGCAAAATGTTCACTTTACTATTTTTATTTCAGACATTACTTTGGCTGAAAGGCTAAAAATAACAACATCTTGTACAATTTTGAATATAATGATATAAATTTGTAGTTGGTCTTATGACAAAAAGAAGTATTATAATAAATCATATGCAAAGTATCAAATGTTTATAGTTTATTCCTTTATATAATTATTTTCATTTCATTATCATTCTTGTTTATTTTTTCTATCAAAAATTTGACATGATAAATCACATAAAAAATGTATAAATAAAAACTTCGGTTTTAGCTATGTATGTATTAGGTCATTCCATAAGTTCGTGCCCAAAGCGAAAAATATTTTAATGAAAATCGAAGGAAATTCTATAGCGATGATATAATGATCTTACAAAAATAAAACTAGAAAAACATTGTGGAATGAGAAGGCGCTTACGTTTCTTTTCTAAAATTTAAACATTCGTTGGAAATATTGATCTAAATTATAAAATTCGGCACGAACTAATACATACAATGGCATTTCACATTTGTATTTTAAATTATTGCATTTATAAACATTCGATATAATTTTCAGGGTGGTAAGAAGTAAAACTAATTAATAAGTTAAAAATATTTTATTTCATATTTTTCTGAAATGAGAGTCTTGATTTATTTCAAATAATATATGAATTAAAATCACTTAACTTGCTCCATATTAATACTTGGGATTTGTATTTTGTTACGTCTAGACAATCTAAAGCCTACGTGTTATTTTGTAAAAAAATGTAAGTACAAGTACACAATTATACAAATAGTACAGTCATACACAATAAGAATAATTTATGTAGCAAATTACAGATGGTTAAAATTCTTAGATTTACAATAAACAATTTACATAGAGAATAGTGCAATTTTATACATATGTAGCAATATAAAAGGATACTAAATTTTAAACTGAAAACATATACATGTGATGTTCGTTTATATCATTAGATTTTTCATATTATTCGCAAATATGTTATTACGAAGTTCCATCTGTTTTTACTACAGTGACAAAAATTAGACAAATGAAGCAAATATTATAACAGCAATAATTAAATTTACAGATTTATTGCAGTCTTATCATAGAATAACACTAAGAAGTGAAATTCGTGAAAAAATTGAAGTACTTTTCATTAAAATATATTTTGTATTACAATAGTTTTATTTATATAATGCATACAGGTTGAGAATAAAAAATCGGAAAGTATGAAAAAAAAAACCAACAATTTTTTTATTAGTAAACTGTGCGTTATGATTTGTTTTTAGATAAATTCAAAGAACTGCTGGTGTTATTCTACAATAAGTGGTTCGCTTATTAATAAGGTTGTAAAAGTCTTGCTGTATATCACATTTTGTACGATAGATAAGTTCAACAATTGCAAGTCTTTTGAGTTACTTCATATTTATAACAATAATGTGTTTACCATTCAACTCTTGGAGTTGGTATTTAGAATACATGCGTAAAGGCATATAAGTGAAAGTGTACAGGAAACATAGTTTGACTGATGTAAAGCATTATGTTTGTTGCTTTCTTAACACGTATTTGAAGTTGTATCATTATGATATGACCAACAAAATATAAATCATAACACGCATATAATGATTTGGTGTATTGCTTTTCCTACATATGTCAAAATTATATATTTTGAATTTTCTTTAAGGTATCGCAATATTTTTGATATCAAAATTTTTATCAAAAAAAGTTCGTATAAATGTATTTATCATATTTTATTCAATTAAAAATGACACTTACACCTTCATAGATACTATGAAGTATGCTATTTCATGTATCAAATATAATATCTGAAATAATCTAAACTTATTTGTAAATATATGGGCTACTAGATCAGCATACTGGTAACACATTGTGATAAGTTACTTTCAATATGTATTTTACATGCTATTTATAAAACAATAAAGCAAGTGTAGGTGTAATAATAATACTTAATTATTCAACCAAATCTTAATTAATATCATGTAAAATACAAGAAGAAAATCCCATAAAATCCTCTTTTTTAAATAATATATTAGAGAATTGAATGAAAAAATACAATAAAATGTTACTACAATTCAATGAATAATTTTAATTCTGAAAATTTGTATACCTAATAACTGAATCATAATACTATTATAATAGTATATGTAAAATTTAAATACGCCTTTTTACAAATACACCTTTTTGCACTTGTTTAAATATAATAATTTGCACTATGCATTATAATTCAAATATAAAATAATAGGTAAAGAGAAACTACTTTAAAGTACACTACATTTCGTAATTACCTTAAAGAATTCGTATTTCTCATTTTTGAACTACATAGTGTACAAAATATATTTTAATAAAATCACTCTTCTGTCACTAGATCACTTTATATGGTATATTCAGTACCATAATAATGATAACTCAATGTACATGATATATAACAACTTATTCCTCATTCTGCACACACTTATTAACAATAGTCTTATTTACAACTGATTGATCCATTTATATAGAATTTTTTAAAGTACTAACATACTTAGGTTTACAAAAGGTGACTTTGGGATTATTAATGGTGCTTATTTATTAAATGAGTGACTGATGTAAATTATGTACAGATACTTCAACACAACAAATGATTTAATATAATCACATGTAATCAACTATCTACTATAACGCTTAACAATAAATAATTAGATACAATCATACATAAAGTATTTTGAAATATTGATATTGTCTTCTAGGAGAATATTATCTTTTCTTTTTTACTTTAGGTCACACTCCAAATAAAAACAAATATTTCTTCTATACGAGTGCAATCTTTGATACAATTAAACTTTTAATAGATCTTATCTTCCTATGCTGATAATAAAATAGGAGGTAAGACGAACAGCTATGCACTCTTCATATAAATATGCAATCAGGAGAACACACGTTTACTCTATTCCTAAACAAAAAAAATAGAACAGACATGTTTATTGTCTCCTAACAGAAAATATTTTAAGGTATTTTTCTAAAACATATATCATACTTTAAACATTTCTACAAATAGCTTTGTTTAATAGCTTTTAAATAATTTCAAAAGTATTTATTATTTTTCTTAAATCTATCCTTCTTAACAGCTGTTTATAACGATCTATGCTATATAATCTTTAACTATTTTTAAAAATTGTTACAATACTACACAATGTACATAAATAAAATGTGTGAATGTACCCACATGCATACTCTGTATAGCGTTGCAATTATATTTATTTAATCTCTTTCTTACTTATA